AGAGTCTCTGATGGCTTTGCTGTGGTAGGAGCTATGTAAGGAAGGTAACTTGTTTAAGGTGTAAGCTGTGTCCTGCAGTAGGAGAGGGTGCCTTGCATAGCTCTGCCAGCAAATCTCTTCCAGTGCTAACCTGGCTTTATGGTTTTCTGCATCCTGTCATTGAAATACCGTTGCACCCAACCTCTAGTGTATGACAGTCCCTGAAGTGTTCATGCACTGTCTAAAGTGATTTGCAGTGGAGTAGACAGTATACAAACCATATCATTTTGGTATCTAAAAGCTCTCCTGGTATGTTAAGTATTCTAACTTTGCCCCAAGTTATTTCCTCTTATCCCAACAAGAATGCATCTTTAACCTCAGCAATAAATCATTCTAAATTGTTTGACCTCACTTTTGTTTTGAGGGTTAATTTTGATGGCGTGATTGCAATTCATGAGTTAAGTAGGCTCTTGTTTTCAGTATGAAAACTCCTATAACATATCCGTGTTTGATATGAAGTTGAGCTGTGATCACGTTTAATTGGAAGAGCCGGCTGGTAACTTTTCTGTTGATGCAGAACATCCTCAGGAGAGGAGAGCTAGAAATGTAAGTGTGTACTGGCTTCTTCAGGCAGTGATTCAGTTCTCATGCTTCTCAGTTTTGGTCCCGCTCATTAAAACTTTACCAGTTAATAGCACTAACATGAGACTTCTGTTTTCACAAGCTATGAGGTGAAAAATTGCAGTTCACAAACTGTTTTCTAGCTTCTTATAGATGACTGGGCAGAATGCTATCCCATGGGAATTGGGCATTTAGAGTGAGTGCAGCAGGTGAAGTTGGGAGTGGAAGCTGCAGCATGTTCCTTACAAGGGAAAAAAATATCTGAAGTTATGTAGGAGTAACAGTGTCTTGCATGATGCTCTTAAGCATGTTTCTTAAACTCCCTCGAGTCTAAATGTGTGGTTTTATACCAATTCATGTCAATAGCGCAGTGTCACCGAGTGACATAGGCCTCTGTTATCAGCTTTTCATTATTAGTTAGAGCTTCAACTTTCTGTTGTGTTTGCATGCCAACACAAAGGGTGGTCAGTGAATACCTGTAGCACAAGGAGGGTCATTAGTGTTTTAAGTACAGGTTTTCTGGGGTATTCAACTGAGCTGCCCTCACTGGATCTCTCTTTTGCAGGCATCTAAACAAAGTAGGCACTGTCAAGGGGAGCAGTTGTATGAAGAGCTGATATTAGGTGTGCAAGGATTTCTTTTCAAGGGTGTTGTGGTTTCATGGCACACATCATTGGGGCCTGAGCCTGTAGTAAGTGGGGGCCAGTCTGTGGATGATGATTTGAAGTATTGTCAAGAAAGAAGCATAGAATGGTTATAGTTGGAAAGAACCTTAAAGCTCATTTAGTTGTCCCTGACCATGGCAGTGGGTTACACCTTCCACTAGAGCAGGTTGCTCCAAGCCCCTGTGTCCAACCTGGCCTTGAACACTGCCAGGGATGGGGCAGCCACAGCTTCTCTGGGCACCCTGTGCCAGCGCCTCAGCACCCTCACAGGGAAGAATTTCTTCCTAATGTCTAATCTCAATCTCCCTTCTGTCAGGTTAAAGCCATTCCCCCTTGTCCTGTCCCTACAGGCCCTTGTCAGAAGCCCCTCTCCACATTTATTGTCAGCCCCTTTAAGCACTGGAGCTGCTCTAAGGTCTCTGCCTTAAGGAGTCTTCTCTTCTCCAGACTGAACCAGCCCAGCTCTCTCAGCCTGTCTCCAGAGCAGAGCTGCTCCAGCCCTCAGAGCATCTTTGTGGCCTCCTGTGGACTTGCTCCAACAGCTCCACAAGCGTTGAGCTGGACACAGGACTGCGGAGGGGTCTCAGCAGAGCAGAGGGGGAGCATCACCTCCCTCGACCTGCTGGCCGCTCTTCTTTTGATGCAGCCCAGCACATGGCTCCTGTCTGGGCTGCGAGCACGCACTGCTGGATTCTCTTGAGCTAAAAGAAGTCTCTTTTCTTGTGTCAGAAAGCTGAGACATTCTCTGGCACCGTTGGGTCAGACACACCAGTGGCACAGGGAGGGATGTATAGTTGCTGAACTACTGCTGTGCGCATCCTTTGGATTTCTCAGTGTGTTCCCCAGAGCTCTTTGATGTTCTTCAGCTTCCTGGCAGCTGTATTAGATGTGAGGGTAATACTTAAATGGGACATTCACGGATGCTTGAATAAATTTGGCGCTTCTACTTGTCTGGGCTCACTAATGCTGTTTTTGGCATGTTTGACTCTGCAGATGGCTTCAGGTCCTCTGGTTCAGTTTAACAGCAACAATTCCAAATCTTTGGAATAATTATATAGTGTGGTTCATGCTGAAGAATTCAACTGAAAAATAGCTAATACACAACTCGCTCTCTTGACTGGCTCCAAATATTTTTCAGTTTGCTTCTAATCTGCATTATCTACAAGTTGCTGAATGCCTGTCTTGTACTTTATCTCATCTGTCTGTTTTCCTCTCTTATTTAGCTTGCTTGTTGTTCTTCTCTTGGGTTGCCACTCTTTGTAAATGTAGACTTTTGGCTTCTCTTGATAGTTAAAGCTTGAGGTCCCACTTCTCTGTTCTGTGAAAATGCAGATGTGTGGTGTAGAGCATGAGAAAAGTTGTTTTTATTCCCTCTTCAGAAGCAAGTCCAAATACTGATGATGTTAGCTGGCTTAGGTAGCAGTCTGGTACAGCAAATAGCTATGGGTTTTGGCAGACAGCTGCAGGTATGCAGGTTGTGCAAAGTAAATTATGCCATAGGGACCCCCTTGAGGGTCAGAAGGCTCAGAAGCCTGGGAAAATATCAGTGTACTACCCTTATCAATGGACTGACATGCTGGGGCACGCTGCCCCAGGATATGAAATGCGATTTCAAAGTGCATGTTGTTCATTGAGGCTGAGGGAAGTGTTTGCCACCTAATAAGCAAGTTCTCGGTTAAATGTGAAGTGTGAAGAGTTAAAGCCAGAGAGCAGGAGACCTGAGACCCAGGGAGAGACATGGACATGAAGATTTGCATCTCTAAAGGATCACAGACTTGTTGGGATGGGAAGGGACCTCTGGGGACTGTAGAGTTTAGCCCCACGTGTTCAGAGCAGGCTTCTCGGGACTGTGTCTGTTTGGGATTTGAATATCTCCAAGGATGGAGACTTCAAAATCTCTCTGGGTGGCCTGTTCCAGTGCTTGAGCGCTCTCACAGTGAAAAACCAATCCAACCGACCACTCTTATGCTTAAGTGGAATTTCCTGTGATAGAATCCCAGACTGGTTTGGGTTGGAAGGGACCTTAAAGCTTACCCAGTTCCAACCCCCTGCCACGGGCAGGGACACCTTCCACTAGAGCAGGTTGCTCCAAGACCCTGTGTCCAACCTGGCCTTGAACACTGCTAGGGATGGGGCATATTTCAGTTTGTGTCTGCTGCTCTTGTCCTTTCACTGGATACCACTGAATCTGGTTCAGTCTTTACATCCCACCTTCTTCCCCCCTGCCAGCTATTTTTGGAAATAGATATTTTTGTGGAGAAAGGTTTCTGGTTTTTAGAAGCTGGAAGCTCTGTTTGCTGTGGAATTCTGTGATGCTGGGAGAAGAGTGAATACTTGAGATTCTGGAGAGTGAAGTGGACCTTTAGGAATGAGTAATAAGTAATTAAATGTTTACCTTCCTAATTCTTTGATTCTGGCTTCAAAACATAGTGGTTCCTTGTGATGTTTAAACTAAGTCCAGTAATGTACTGAACTTGGTCTGTCAAAAATACAGCTTCTTGCTGTGACCTGTAAACACCTTCTCTCTGGGGTGGCTTCCAATTTTCAGGAGTATTCACTTTGAGTTTCTTAATAATCCATAGTAGAGGTATTGCCCGTCCTCTCTTGTTCTGAGATTTGCTGCTTTTCCTCGTAATAACTCTGTTCGCAAGCATCAACCAAGTAATTTTGTAGTACGTGAATGTCAGCCCTAAAATTCAGGTGTGAATTGGATTGTTCAGTTTGGGGCTGTAAACAACTTGTTCCAAAGGAGAGCTGGAAACGAGTGGCAGCTCTGCCCGCAGTTCCTGGCTACATGTGGAGCAGTTAGTAGTAGTCATGAGTAATGACTGTTGTTTAGCTCTGGCAGTAGCTCCCTCGTTTTAGCCCGTCCAAAAGGAGATTATGCTTATTTATTTGTTTTCTTGTTCAAGAAAAAGGTCTTTTCTTAATGAGCAGTGTAATTACGCATAGCGGTGCTTTTTCCTGTGATTTGTTTTGACGCTTTAGATGTGCTGAGGTAAGTCCTAGCTGACTAATTCATGTATAATTTTAGATCAGTGCAAGTCTCTTAACCAGTAAATGCATAGCAGGATCTAACCAGGACTGCTTCAGAAGATGTTGGTGCGGAGCCACTGGAACTCTGTTTATGTTCAGCTTTACGCTGCCTGTGTCTTACGGCCAGAGCTCTCTGTGCGTGTTGGTGCTGATGGAGTCACCTCTAAGACTTTTCATTTATTCCAGCTGCCTTGGCAAAGTGCAGCAATCCAATTCCCTCAAGGAAAACTCTCCCTTAATTCTAATTTTACCTCTCTGCAGTTTTCCTTGCCTGAAGCCTTGCTTTTTCTGCTTCCATCAAGGCAAAGAACACGAAAGGAGAGCAATCTATAAAGTTAACATCACCTCTTTCTTTGTGGAAAATCCTTCCTAGCCACTCTACAGCAGACTTGGCAGAGACATTTGATTTCAGTTAAGGTTTTTAAATATTTCAGAGCTATAGATCCATGTGGTATGATGTTCAACTAATTATCATAAATATTTATGTGATAACTTGATAGCTAAGAGTGACTAGATGGTATGATGAAAAACACTTCACAGTTCAGTTTCAGCAGCTGAAGTAGACATGTTTCTCCTGGACAGGTCTATACTTCATTTGAATAGAACTGAATTTGTCTAACCTTTTGTGACTTGGCTTTTACTCCTCTTTTTATGGAGGAAATAATGGTAGTGGTTATACAAAATGTTCTTTGCTGTCCCATGCTTGATGAATTAATCACAGCAGTGAAATTGTCTTTTGTTTGTTTTTTTCCTACAGAAAAAGATGGCAAAGCCTTTCATCCAACATATGAAGAAAAACTCAAACTTGTGGCACTGCACAAGCAGGTTCTGCTGGGACCTTACAACCCTGACACTTGCCCTGAAGTTGGATTCTTTGATGTGCTGGGGAATGATAGAAGGTAAAAGGACTGGTGCTCTTCTTGGTCTTAACTCTGCTTTTCCTGTCTGAAGGTAACATCCAGTTTCCGCAGTAAGAAGACAAGTATGTGGGTTGCCTCAATACGTGTATGTGGTAGTGAAAAGTGAAAGTGGCCTCTTCAGATGCATCTTAGAAATCTGAGTCACAGTTCAGTAAAGATGCTAAGAGAAGATTATTGGGGTTTTTGAACCGCATTAGGAAAAGCCACTGTGCTGACAGTCCAGTTTCTCATAGCAGTTTAGGACTTCGTGGCTGTGCATTAATGTGCAGGCCCATGTTTCATCCTCACCCCACACCAGCGTTACAGTGGTAGCAGCATTCACCAAAGATAACTTCTGATTTCTGGGACCTGATGCATTCAAACTCTGAGTAAACTTTTATGAGATCTGGGCAGTCCCAGTGTCTCTCTTGCACTGCTTGCAGTTCAGGCTGCACTTGTAATGTTCATTGTTGCTGTTTCTAATGTGAAGGTAATCTGCAACACAGCACTGGCTTCCTGGAGCTGGACCCAGTGCACTGCTTTTGCCCAGATGGATGTAGCTTTCCTTTAGGAAGAATCAGGCTGTTGCATTAAGCTAACTGAAGCACTGTAATCAGTGGTTGTTACCATGTTTGTTCATCCAGTAAAATGTGTGCATTCTTTTCCTCAAACTAGAGTGGAAGAAGGGTAAAAAGTATTTCAGGTTCATTGGTTAGCTGGGAAGCTTTACGATGTAGTTCAGAATTCTAAGTAGGGTTGATGGCATGTATGAGATTTCACATAGGCACTGAGTTATGCCTGTCTGAAGGAGTTGTTCTGGTGCAGGCAGAAGAGAACACTTTGGGGAGAAAGCTGTTGGTGCTCTGAAACTGCATATGATAAACTTTGGTCCCTGGTCTCCCAACTTTTTTTGCATTGCCGGCTTCTCAGAGTTCATTACTGACTTCAAAAGAGTTTAGCTTTCTGTTATTTCAGCTGATTTCTCTCTCTCAGGAAGGAATGGGCTGCCCTTGGAAACATGTCAAAGCAAAAAGCTATGACAGAATTTGTTAAGCTCCTGAATAGGTGCTGTCACTTGTTTTCAACGTATGTCACTTCCCACAAGATAGAGAAAGAAGAACAAGAAAAGAAAAGGTAATGTTTGAGTTGGAGAATATTGAGTATGTAACTCTTGACCTGTGGACAGTATCACAGCTATCATATGCTGAATTTGTCCTGGAAAGAGAAGTGCTTGAGGTTTAGGTGGCTGTGGTACCGCTTGACCTCTTTCAGCCTTTTTGCTTTGCCAGTAATGAATGATTGCTTCTGACATGACAACTCCTAGAATGTAAGGAGTTGTTTTAATATTGCTGATGCTGTCATCTGCTTAAGAAATACACACTTCACAATGTCTGCACGGATATGTCTGTGGACTAATCATACACAGAACATGAAATTGTCAGGTGCTTTAAACTTCTAGCATGGGTTAGCAGCTTGACAAAGGCTATCTTCTACTATCATTTACATATCATGTTATTATTAAAATGTAGTATCCATGCGTTTACTGAACGTGTGTTAAAGCTTGGGAGTTGTTAAAGCTTTCCAGGCAATTTTCTTCTACTGTTCTCTGCTAGAGATAGTATAGTAACAGCTTAGAATGAATAACAAATTATAATACAGAGTTTACACTTGTCATACTGCAGAGCGCAGTAAAACTCAGCAGTGAGATGTTTTCTTCTTGTGTCCAACAAGACACTTCTCCAGGCCAATTTCAGTGGGAGGAGATGATACCAAACGAAAAGCCTTAGTGAGTAGGCAAAAGGCAGGTTACAGCATGTTGGAAATAACTCATCCTAGAGTTGTAGGAATGCTGCAATAGCTTATTGAGTGGATGTTGCAGAAGAGAAGAGGAAGAGCGAAGGCGGCGTGAAGAGGAAGAGAGTGAGCGTTTACAAAAAGAAGAAGAGAAACGTAGGCGAGATGAAGAGGAAAGACTGAGAAGGGAAGAAGAAGAGAGGAGGAGAATAGAGGAGGAACGACTTCGCATGGAACAACAGAAGTGAGTAGCTGAAACAAACAATACGTCAAAGAAAATAACTGCCTTGCACTTGAGGCAACTGTATTAACTGTTTAAATAGTTACACTAGGATTTAATACCTGAAGTTCAGAGCACTTGAGTCTGGCAGTGATGTTTTCATGCTTAGCTAAGAGGGACACAGTATGCAGAGAATAGTTATCCTAACATGTCATTGTATGCAGCCTTCTCAGATCAAAGTGCAGAGAAGCTTTGTTTAAAGAGAAGCTATGGAGGTTTTTGGATTCAAGGGCTGCACCTCATGAAGACTCGTGGCTCTGCTTCTTAAATGATTAATGCTGCACTCAGCTGAGCAGAGTTACATGTCCAGCTGGAAGCGTTGTTTGAACTGTGACTTGAAAGTTTCCATTCTTTCACAGGGGGTGGAGCCTTGCAAAAAGGATAAGTGCAGTTCAGTGGGGTGTTTCGAATGTATGGCTGGAATTTTCTAACTTGGTAGCCTAATGATACCTCCTTAAATGTGCTCCCTTTCTAGGAAATGGGAAGTGTCTGCAGATCTCATTTGTACACTGGTAATCACTGGATCTTACCAGCTTTCTAAAAGGAATGCAACATTCATGGTCAAATGCACTAAACCTCTGTTTGTAGCCTGAATTAAATTGTTTACTTAGAATATACAGCTCTAGTGATATTTCATTGTTCCCATCACATCTAGATGTGCTGGAAATGTGGATTTAGCTTTGCACACATAATATTTAAGGAAATAGTATATCATCAAAGCTGCTTTAGTCAGCAACCATTTTTCACAATAAAAATGTCTTTGCAGGAGGTGTCTCTGAAGTAGATCCTGTGTTTGAGAAGGGAGCAAATAATTAGTCCAAAAGTTTTGCTGTTTGTTTAACATGGTGAGAGCCAGGGGAGTGTCAAATACAGACATAAATGAACAGAGAATACAATAGAAAGTGTTGCACAGTGCTAGGTAACAAAAACTATGGTGTGCCTTGGAGATAAGAGGTTTTTATTTTAAACATGAATAGCAGATGTGTATTAAGTGGTTGTAGCAGGTTACAGAGATAAAGAATTTAAACAGAAAAGAAACATTGATATGTATATACAGGCCAAGTGTATCTAAACTGGTCTTAGTTTGGGGAAGAGTAACTAAGTCTTGCCCTTTAGTATACTAAACCAGTCTAATCCTGGAGCTTTTAAAGGATGATTTTGGGGGAAGGAAGAAGAGTAGGAAGGAACAAATTACCCCTGCGTTTGTGTGATGGTTCTTCCTTCTTCTGTAGCATTGATAGTTGGTCACTGATTGATATAACATGTGAGACAAACCCTGGAGCAAGCTAGTAATATTACTCTATAGTTTTTGTTAGGCCTTTGGAAAGAGGAGAAAACCTGAGCCTGTGCACAAGTGACTTGTGTTCTTTCTGAAGTTTCAGCAGTTGAGTTCATTGGAGGCGCAGATGCCCTATTTGGCAGAACATTTTTGTTCCTGAATTAGGCCACAGTCAGTCATGCTTTTCATATTTGTTTGCCTACTGTCCTGGGAAATCAAGATAGTAATGTGGTGTGTTCTTCTTAGATGTACCAGAAAGTATTGTCATGCTGTACCACAGCAGGTATGTCCTTTCCAATATCTGTAGAAGGGCTGCTAGAAGAATGGTTTCTTCATGTTTTCTGGAGGAACCAAATGTGGGGTTTTTCCTCTTGCTTGCTTGAGAAATTTGGTCATGCATTTTTTTGTAGCACTACCTCTTGATCAGACTACTGATTGGGAATTATGTAAGAGCTTTTGTTTCTTCAAGCATTTCTACCCTTCTTTCAAGGGTAGAAATTATTGCTCCCTTCTTTATATTCTCAGCATATTTTTTCTGCAAAGTTCACATTTGCATTGCCAATGGGCTCTGCTCTATTATGTAGATTTGTTTTAATTGGTTTTTGAAGGAATTGAATTAGCTGTCTTTGAGACTACTTAAATCACTTAAGTACAGGGATTTCCCCAATACCCTTAGCTGCTTGTAATCTTCATGCTCTCCTCCTACCAATCTAGGCAGCAGATCATGGCAGCGCTGAACTCCCAGACTGCCATTCAGTTCCAGCAGTATGCAGCCCAGCAGTATCCGGGTAACTACGAACAGCAGCAGATCCTAATTCGTCAGCTCCAGGAACAGCATTATCAACAGTACATGCAGCAGTTGTATCAAGTCCAGCTTGCACAGCAACAGGTATGGCCAAGCAGCTGAGAAACCTGGATTTTGTGTTCCAGGCTGTCTCTGGGAGGTGCTTACTTGTCTGCTGTTATGTCCTTGAAAAGATAATTGCTACAAGGGGAGATAGTGTCCTAGTGACTAATGTTGCTTCACATTCAAATACTAGAGCCCCATTATTTGATCCTTTCAAGTGGTTTTCTGAAGCAGCAGTAGTTAAGAAAATTCTAAGCAGCCATTAGTAATTACTTGGTTCAGTATCATTCTTGGAGACCAAACGTGAAACGCTCTGCTGCAGCATCGATTGTGTGTCTAATTTGATGGGGGCACACACCAGTGCATCTGAGCATGAGCAAAGCTATTCCAGGGACTCTCCGTGTAGGTATCACCCCTGAAGATCTGTGTAGAGCAGCAGGCTTTGGTCAGCCATGTGTTTCCAGCTGAACCTGTGTGCAGCACTGCCACATCACTACTGGGTTTGAGACTGCTGCTGCCTGTCAACTTGAGCACTACTGATTTCTCCCTCCTTTTGCATCTATTGTCTGACATCAGTATCTAATCACGTTGCTTGCTCGTGATTTGGGTGGGAGGACAAACTTTTATATTTCTGGTATCAATGGGTGGAGGCAGCACATTACTACTTTACAGGGGTTTTGTGCCTCGCCTTGGAAGGGTAATTCTCTGTTTAGGAGAATCTTGCATCTCTAGCAAAAGTGCTGTATTCACATCTCAAGCTATTTTTAAAGTTCAGAGATGTCCATCTGTAACTGTCTTAAACAGATGTAAGCCAGACTTCAAACTCTTGTATGTCTGACCTCTGTAGGCATGACCTGAATCTTAAATGGCCTGTAACTGCCAGCCTGAGGTCTGTTGTTCTTGAGCTAAAGACTAAACAGGAAATTAGTTACTGAATTTTAAGTCATGTGTGTTCTGACGAGGTGGCTGCCCTCAGCAAAGAACTGTCCAAGGAAGAAAGCCATACAAACCCATGTGAATCTCATGAAATTCAACCAAGTGCAAGGTCCTGCACCTGGGTCAGGGCAGCCACCAATATCAGTACAGACTGGGGATGAGGGGATTGAGAGCAGCCCTGCAGAGATGGATCTGTGGGTACTGGTGTTTGAAAAACTGGACATGAGCTGGCTATGGGCTCTTGCAGCCCAGAAAGTCAACTGTATCCTGGACTGGATAAAAAGAAGTTTGGCCAGAAGGTTGAAGGAGGGAGGTTGTTCTCCCTCTCTACTAGGCTATCATGAGGCCCCACCTGGAGTCCTGTATCCAGCTCTGGGGTCCCCAGTACAAGATAGACATGGACCTGTTAGTGGGTCGAGAGGAGGGCCACAGAAGTCCTCAGGGGTCTAGAACATCTCTCCTGTGAAGAAAGGCTAAGAGTGTTGGGATGGCTCAGACTGGAGAAGAGAAGGCTCCAGTGAGACATTGCAGCCTTTCAGTACTTGAAGAAGAGGGCTTATAAAGAAGACAAAGACCTTTTTGCAAAGGCAGTGACAAGACCAAGGGGCAGTGATTTTGATCAGAGAGTGTAGGTTTAGATTGGACATAAGGAAGAAAATGGTTTTTTTTTTTACAATGAGGGTAGTCAGACACTGGATCAGGTTGCCCAGAGGAGTTGTGGATGCTCCATCATTGGAAGCGTTCAACATCAGATTGGATGAAACTTTGAATGGCCTGATCTAGTGAAAGATGTCCCTGCCCGTGGCAGGCAGGTTGGACAAGATGATCTTTAAAGGTCCCTTCCAAGCCAAACCATGATTTGATGGAGTTGAAGTGGTACAGGAAAGTCAGAGGCTTCCTGCACTGTTATAGTTACTCTTGAAGCTTAATGACACCTTAGTACCAACGCTTTGGTGTCATAGTGGTAAGCAAAAACTACAGCCTCGTCAGTCTTGCCCTTCTGTAATTGATACTCCCTTGAGACTGAGGTGTCAGAGACACTGCTGCCAATTTTCTTCAGTGTTATCAGGCACTGCTCCTTTCAGTCATTGCTGTCTGCTTTCTGTGTACAGAAGACTAATGTCCTCCAGGACCTGGGCAAAACAGCCTTGCCTTTATAGTGGCTTACAAAATAGAAAGCCTGCTAGGCACTGAAGCTTAGCTTTCACATCTCTACCTAGACAACTCTTGTAAAGGAAAGGATGAAAAAGCAGCGTGTAACAGAGCTAAAATTACCTTATTCTGCTTCAGACTTTCCTGAAGACTTCTGAGGAATACTTTTTTTTTTGGATGACTAACTCAGCTGCCTTGGGATCTATTAGTGCAGTTAAAAAGTGCTGTTCTGTCATGGTTGCTACAGATCAGCTTATGATACCATTAATTTTGGAAGGGCTGTGTGCAGTAGTTGTCTGCAAAAGTTTTTGCCACTTTACATTGACTCAGTGCATAGAACTGCAGTAGAAAGTGGATCTGGGCAGCAACTATACAATTACTCAAATTTGAAATCTAACTAATGTTGGACTATAATGTCTTCATACTATGTTCCATTCATTTGTCAAAGTCAAGTGCTTATTAAGTTATTCTTTAAAGAATGGTACTGTGAATTATACCTTTTCCCTGTCCCCACAGAAAAGCATATGTAATCTCTCTGTGCTGATAACTAGGAGCAGGGGAATAAGCCTTGAAGCTAAATCCAAAGGATGGTTGTTATCTTGTATAATCTCATTTTAGGTGTATTTAATCCTTTGTGCAGGGGCAGCATGACAAATTCCACCTGAAGAGTTCCAGTGTACACAAACCATCTTCTAAAAGCAGCACCTCTGAGCCTTAATAACTGTTCTCCCAGACCACTCACAGTCCTTGGGGCTCTTGAGCATCCTTCTTTCGTATTAAATAACTGCCTTTGTGGATTTGACAAGAGAACCCTGTTGAGCAAGTTAAATCATAAATTGTCGAATACTTATTAGACCTCAAATACTTCCAGATCTTTTAGACCTGGATGAGGTCAGGCTAGAACCCTTTGAGCCCACTGGTAAAAGCCAGCAAACAAATCAATCACTTTCCATTTTGAAGGCAATCTTATAGGAATAACCGAAATGCAGAACTTCCCTAGTTAAGTGCAAGAGCTTATTGCATGTGCCTGAATTACCTTGGAAGTTGAATCTTTTTGTTCAGGTTGTATCCACCAGCCTACAACAAAGTGAATTCACTTCCCCTGATATTGAGTGTATGCGATTACCAGTGGTTAATGGGTGCTGTTTATGGGCTTCTGTGTCAAGCCTCCTCCTGGGATGCAGGAGGAGATTCTTTCTTTAAAGTGTCTTTATACCTCCTGCTGGAAGAGGGAGACATCTTGGGAGGGTTTGGTTTTATTGACTTGATTTCTGTCATTTTAGGCAGCCTTACAAAAGCAGCAGGAGGCAGTTGTGGCAGCGACAGGGACACCCCTGACTACTGCATCAAAGGCAAATGCACCTGCCCCAGGGGACACCCCATCTATTAACGGGCAGGCCAGTACACATGCAGACAGCCCTGAAAAAGAGCTGGATCCAGAGGTTTTGGAAGAAGCACTGGAGAATGGACCAAAAGGTAGGGCTATTTAGATTCCTTAATTAAAAATACATAATAAAAGCTTTTCTTAGGGTTCAGATGTCTGAAGTATGGTTACTGTGGCTCTTTGCTGGGCTTCAGTGGGTTGTGCAAGAACTAGCTTTGATTTCTGGGTCCAGCCTCTCTGAAGGGAGAACAATATTGCACTGACAAAACTCAGCTTTGGGGGAA